GGATCAATTTTTATTTTATTTTTATTTAGCAACATTCTCAAAGCACTTTTGCAAGCTAATTTCTTATTTCAAGTTTGCTTCTTCAACACACTTCTCTTCTTTCCACTTTACTGATTTACTTCCTCATGGAAATTTTGAGCCTCAAGTTTCAACTGGTGTGTTTAGTCAAAAAGGATCTTACCAATGATTTACTGTACAAATGATTTAACACAAAATTAAATACACAGATACTAACAGCAGAGATTACAACCTTTGGGTGCTTACATCAATCTACACTGCTCATGAACTACTTTACTTATATTCCTGAAAGGAATATTCTCTTAGTGCTGTATCAGGGTGTTGTACAAATGATAATTATATGCAGAATACTTGGGCACAAAGCTGTAGCACTTTTCTTAGTACAGACAGCTTTATTGGTTTCCCTTAGGTTGCATTGGCATATCAGTAATAGATTTATTCTTAATAATTCTAAGATAGGAATTCTTACTTTACATAAATTCAGTATTTTCTTGCTGTTGGGAGGTTTTGTTGTATTTACAACATGGCTGTCACTGACATATTCAGACTTCTTGTTGTTTGTTTCTTTGCTGATTGACTCATTCTTTATAAAGAGAAGCCCATCCCTTATGACAATTTTTCATTAATTCCATGGGATTTTTTTGGCTCAGACTACAGGATATTATCCTAAAATACTAGGAGAGGATGGTCAGCTTTCCAGCCTCTGAGCCGTAACCTAAATCTGGCATCCACAAGCCATGCACAACAGCGCTGGGCTGGCCAAGGCCCTGGCCTGACTCTCAAGTTGGCCCAGCTGCAGCAGGGGTGGGCTGGCCACCTCCGGAGGCCCCTTCCCCTCGTATTTTGTGATCTCCTGCCCACACTACCATCTTCAGTGGCCTTGCTTCCTTGCACCACTGGAGAAATGAGTCACGCAGGGGTCCCTCTGCCATCATAGCCCTACGGCAGGCAGTGTAAACTAGGATGGCTGGTGAGGGAACCTGAATGGCACCTGACTTGCATGAGCTGAGTCCTGCTCTAGTTATCAAGCAGGGCATGCCACCTGAAGCCCGCTGTGACCTGAACAGCAAAACTGTTCATGACTGAAGTGCTTTGTCTTGGGAGGCCTTTCTCTTACTCTGGATAGGGGCTGTGAGGTTGGTGGGGCGAGCCCCTTCCCCGGGGCACTCCCTGCTCGAGATCTGGGTCCGAGGCCAGGTCTCGGGGAGGCTTTCACCGCGTCTTTGAGTGGAGGTATGCGTGGGCAGCCCCCTCCCTGATGCCAGCCCACGGCGGCTGAGCTGAGAGTGCCGGGGGCCGGGTGGCTCTCCCAGCACGCCTGCCGGGCAGGGTTTTGGGGCCCAGCGGGCCGAAATTGCCCCGGCCCCTTACAGCCAGGCCC